ACTCGGTGTGAAAGCAGTCTTGGGGACATGGTGTCCAGGCCTCCTGGATTCTACATTCCTCACCATGCAGCAGCTGAGGGGCAGGTGGCACAATGCCTGGGCCTACATGGATGACTGGATTTTCACCTTTGGTCACAATGGGAAGCATGTGTCCAGGTCTCCATTAACCTTGCTCCTAGAGAGAAACTTTGTCTTGTAAAATAGACCACCACAGTTGCTTCAGAGGTAACAGAAATACTAAAATAAAAGTTTTTTTTAATACACACACACACAGTATATAGATACTTGTTTTTTAAAGTCTGTGTCTGTATACCACATGTGTACAGTTCCAGAATCCCCCTGGAACTGGAGTTACATGTGGCTAAGAGCTGCCTAATAAAGGTTCAGGGAAGCAAACTCAGGCCTTCTGAAAGAACAAGTACTCTTAACTGCTGAGCCAGCTAGTAAGAGTAAGTGACTACAGCACATATATTGAAAGATGAAAAGCTAGTATCCACATAACAAAAACACACTTTGTTTTTCTGCTTCTGGATTACCTTACTTGGGATGATTTTTTAGAGTAAGTGACTACAGCACATATATTGAAAGATGAAAAGCTAGTATCCACATAACAAAAACACACTTTGTTTTTCTGCTTCTGGATTACCTTACTTGGGATGATTTTTTTTTTCCTAGCTCCATCCATTTCCTTGCAAATTTCATTTTTCTTAACAGGTGAATAATATTCCATTGTGTAAGTAGAATTTTGATCATCAGATGATAGATATCTAGGCTGTTTGCAATTTCTGGGAATTATGAATGGAGCAGCAAGTCTATCTATAGTAGGATGTAGAATCCTTTGGGTATATCTCAAGAGTGATATAGGTGGATCTTGTGAGATCTATTTCTAGCTTCCTGAGGAACTGCCATATTTATTTCCAATGTGGTTGTAGAAGTTTGCACTCCCACAGCAATGGATGAGTATTCCCCTCACTCTATCCACATCCAGCATGAACTGTTATTTGTTTTATTGATCGTGGCCATTCTGACAGGTATATGAGAAAATCTCAAGGCAGTTTTAATTTGAATTTCTGATGGCTAATTTCCTTAACTGTCAATTAATCATGTTTCATCTTTTGAGAACTCTCTGCTTAGTTCTGTACGCCATTTTTAACTAGGTTGTTTTCTTGATGTTCAGTTTTCTTAGTTCTTTATATACTCTAGATACTAACATTCAATCAGGTATATAATTAGTAGACTTTCTTTCCCCATTCTACAGGCTGTTTGCAGCTTTATCCAAAAGGATTGTGGTGAGGAAATCTCCCAAGGAAGGAAAATTGAATATAGTGTATGGAGAGATAAAGGGGGAAACGAGACAAGGAGGATTACATGGAGGTGGGAGGAGAGAAGAGTAAAGGATACAGGGAGGGAAAGTCAACACTAAGGACGTTTTGAAAAATCATATGTAAATCTACTACTGCAAGTTTCCTAAGTACATACACAAAAGGAAATTAAATGGAGTTAACTATATAATGGGGAGACAATGACCCAACTAGAAATCTTCCAGTACCAAGTAAAACCTCCAATGTTGGGGAATGGGTTACAGCTTGTTGAGTACTTGGTCAAAGAGGCCCCATGACACAAACATCAGAGGCTATTGCCGAGGCAGCTAATTGCTCTTCACAACCTTATGGTAAGGTCCTATTGATGAAGACAACATTTACATCATTAAACACAGAAGTTGAGCTGGTGCCCAACTAGAAGGTTCACCCCAACTGACTAACATTCATGGTTCTGGAAAGTACTATGAACACTATCAGAGGAGAAATATAATCAACACCACACAGCTACCAACCCTGTGGCCTCCAACAGTGACCTGCCTACAAGATGTACTGGTGCAATAGAGGCGCAAATGCTATGGGAGCAACTATTTTGGCTGGATTTAAGGCCCACTCCAGGATGCAGCCCATACCTGACACTGCTAAAGTGACCAAGGACCTGAGACTCGATAGGTCATGGACCAAGGAGAAAACCTACTATATTCTGCTACAGGAATACAGCAAATAAAAAAAAATTACTCCTATAGAATACCACTATACCCGTAAGTCAGTGCTTCACGCAGTACTCACCAGAGAAGCTTCTTTTGGTCAATGGCTATTAACAGACCCACAACCAGACAATGTGCAGAGTGAGAGACTGGAGCACTGAGTCCGATTGGTGAAATTATTAAGGCCACTCCACATAGTTAAAAGGGAGGTTTATTTAGTGGCGTAACTTACAAATGAAGGGATAGGTAGGTTGTGGGTTCTGGGAAAGACACAGCACAGTCCGGTGGTGTTCTCTGGAGAACTCTCCTCAGTCTACCTCTAGCATTCAGGGTCCAGGAAACAAGAGAGCATGGCGCATCCGGATCTTGGGTCTTCAGGGCCCTCTCTTGGCCCCGCCTTGTAGGCGTGATAGTCACCAAAGCCTCAATGGGGGTTGGAACTTCCAGACCATAGCTGGAATGGCTACCCACTAGAGTCCTAAATGGGACGTCTGCATCGAACCCTCCCCAAGGTTCAGGGATCTATGCTAAAAAGGAGGCAGAAACACTGTAAGAGCCAAAGGTTGTGAGTGACTCCAAGGAAACTGTCCTCCATACATAACAGGACCAATGCACATATACACTCAGAAGAGAGTTCAGAACAAGTAAGACTTGAACAGTTTCAAGCCAGATGGGGTTCCAGCACTGAGAGATGGAAGTGAAACAGGGTCCCACCCCTTACCAAGAAGCTGTCTGCAACTAGTATCTGTTGGCCAGGGGAAAATCAGTTGTCTCCAATGGAGTGTCATTGGGTGTATCAACCACACTCCTAGGCAGGGCCAATGCCCAGTAGTAGTTGACCAACACAGAATAAACTCAATTGTATTTTTGTTTCATTTTGCTTTTCTTTTGACATTTTTGGCATTTATGGTCTTTTGCTTATTTGTTTTTTTGTGTGAGAAGGTGTTTCTTGGTTTGTTTGTTGTTTGCTTTATGGAGAGAGAGAATGTGCAAGAGAGGGAACATAAAGTTGAGTGGGTAGGGATATGGGGAGATCTGGAAGGAGTTGGGGAAGAGGGAAAATATGAACAATACAGTGTGAAAAAAATTAATTAAAAATAATAAAAAGAAAAAAAGAGTGAGTTAAGAAGCCATACCAAGTAAACAGCGATTTAAGCATTTGTAGTTATTCCCTCCAAGAACTGAGTTTTTCTTTCCATGACACACCATTTTTTTGCAATACTTCTTTCTCTTTTTGGAGAGCTTTCAATGAATGAGTAAACCCTCTAAAGATATTTAGAACCACTTTCCCCAAATGGAATCTGACCTTGACAACCTATATATTACAGATTCCTCTACAGATTCTTTTCTTAGACTATAAATACAAGTAACATAATAATTTCAACCTACAAACAATTTCCATCTCTCTAGCCCATAGCAAACATGTCCTGAAAAGTGATGGATACAGCTCGATGTCCTCTGGTAACAGAATTACTGTTTTACCTCAAAGGGTTTTTGTTTTGTTTTGTTTTTTCACATATAAAACAAACTCCAACTAGGACAATCTTTTAGTCTTTACTGACTCATAGGCATATAGAGGCCATAAAATACCCAGCTTCTACCCCTTCTACATCTTCCTTTCATCAACATGGATAGAATTGTTTTATCAAATGTGATACAGGACAATTGACCCTGTACCATACTGTATCACTGACTGGTGTGAGAAAAGGACCATAATGACAAAAAGCCTACACACTTGATTCAAACTGTAGTTTTCCTCTTCTTTACATAACATGTTGTAAGGCAGCTATTCAGTATTCACACTTAGGCACAGTCCTAAGTCTGCTCAGGCTAAACGAAATGGTTATAGAACTAGAGGTAGTGCCATGGCAGAAAACTCAGTAATATATCAAAAATCTGTTTTCTTATCTACAAGTTCACAAAATGACTGACTTTAATAAACTAATTATGCTCATGGTCACTTAAACCCTCTTCTCTTAGCAAGAGCAAGCAAAAGTTTTTCTAAGAAAGTAAAGGTGCTTAATACCAAACTTTTCTTTTAAGCTCAATTTTTTTTTTTTTGGACTAAGAAACTAATACCTAAAATACCAGCCTGTTCTTTCTATGTTTTCACTTCCTCATTTATTAAATTCTATAAATACATTCATCAACAATGGTGCTTTTAAATATTCTTGGCACTCAGTTAAAACTGTTGAAGTCTACTTTATTTTGTTCTTTCATGTTTTCAAAGAAAAGATTAATATTATAAAGTATTCACAAAACTCTTTTATCATTTAATCTATTTTCCAACAAGATTTTTATACAATTTTATATAAAAGGATAAATCAAATTTTCCTTAAAAAGTTCAATGAGAGAAAAAAATATATATCCTCTATACTGCTTTAAAATCTAATGCAAATATTTCATGAGCTACTGATGACTTCTAACAATCTAAAAATATTCAAGAATTAGCAATGAAACAATATAAGGAAAACATGAGCATTTCACATGTCTCTTACATTACAAAGTTATCAACCTGTCAGACCTATCTCCTAAGAGCCTGAAAATGATCTGGCATAAACCAGACCTGTAAGTAGGAAGTCATAGTGATATTTATGTTAACACCTATACTTCCATTTATTCCAAATCTTTAATCTAAGTATTATAGGTTCAGAATGTAATCAAATCTGGGATGTTCTCCAACAGATAAGCAACACCATTAGCTAAGCTGTGTTTCAAAAACAGTGTCTAGAGATTTCATATATTATCAAATGCGTGGCCACATGGTTAACAACTTGTAATAGTTGACATTAAACACAAGTATTGTGCCACAAGTCCATCTACTTTTATTTAATGTATTTTCTCATATGCCCAAGAGAACCTGCATCAGGTGTGTTTAGGGATATATTAATTTATAAGGATATAACTCCATTTTTAAGGTTATATTATATTTGATGTACTGAAGAAAAAAAAAAAGAAACTAGTAACCAACTTCTTCAGGTCAGTTAAAAGCCATGACTTTTATTATTTAAAAAGTCCCTGAAAGTATCAAAACCTTAAGAGGAACAGAAGCAGAACAAACAACAAAACCAGGAGAGGAAAAGAGCTGCAGTGCAGATAATCAACAGCTTCTCATTTATTTGGCCACTAGCAAGGGGGAAAAATGTAATTTGTTCAGTTGTCTGAGTTCTTTCACGAATCTTCATCCCATACAGAAGAGACTTTCAATTTTCTAAGCACACGAGCACCGAAGGCTCTGTCTTCTTGTGGTAGTTGTTCTTGTCTCAATAATCTCAAAGCCAACTTCCTGGAGAATCTCTCCCTGACTGATGATCTGTTCCTATCAAAAGTGCCACATTTCTCACAGATGTTTAGGACAGGGTTTAACATTTTAGTTCCTACTCCTGGTCTTTAGTAAGTTGCAAGACATGCTATGTCATGATGTAAAGTCTTCTTATTCTGCAAATGGTCTCCCAGCAGCACACCACACCTACACTATTTCATTAAAATAGGCAAGTTTTGTTAGTTTGCCAACTTCTGCACATCCTTGTTGAATTTATCGTAAGCTGACTGGAAGGCAAACTGGTTCGATTTCTGCAAAAGTCAAATACTGTGTGGTATCACAATTCTTAGCTTGATCTTTCATCTTCACCACCTGCTGAGGCCATCCACCATCACCAATGCACTGATCTCTGAGCTCTCCACCCTGAGTTCAGGGTACTCAATCCTACTTGCCAGAGTCTTGCTGAGGGAAGGGTGCTGATGGGGAGAGGCTATAGAAGCTAGGATTACCCAGAGGCAGAGGATTCTTTTACCACAGTGCTGGTGCCATCGTTTCTCCAAATGTGCACAGGGGACCACTTGCCAGCATTTTTAAATGAAGGACACAAACTTGCCTATTCATGGTTACCATATTATACAAATGTCACTTTAAAACCAGATCCTTTTTCTCTTTCACATCATTACTCCATTACTTGTTGTTGTTTCTGTTTTTCGAGACAGGGTTTCTCTGTGTAACCTTGGCTGTCCTGTAACTCACTTTGTAGATCAGGCTGGCCTCAAACTCATAGAGATCATCCTGCCTCTGCTATCCAAGCACTTGGGTTAAAAGAGTGTGCCACCACTGCCCAGCTATTAATCCATTATTTATATGGGCCCTGGACAAACCTTTAACTCTTGAGTTCTCTGCTTACTCTCCTATAATCATCAATATAAGAAAAGGTCTGTGCCTCTGCCATAGACCTGCAGAGGAAAAACAGGTCCAATTGTGCATGTGCGTCCACTGAGCAACACTCTACCATGGCCTTAAGATATGACAATCGTTTCTAGGTAGCAACTCACTCCTAGCAACAGCCTTCCTCAATTCACTTCCTTTGGCAGGCATTTTTGAGCTTGATTTTTGCTCTATCCCTAACTGTGTATGGTACACAGCAACACTCAAACAAGAAGCCTTCTCTGATCTGATAATGACCTTCAGTGGAAGGAGGGCACTGCCTCTGGAGTAGGGCTGCTGGGTTCAGATGTAAAAGTTGAGCACAACATAAGTGCAATGGAGCAAGAAGACACTTTGTATCAGTGCTGTGTATTGGTGTATTTATTACAACTGTACAACAGATGGCAGTAAACTGTCTGGGCGAAGTGATTCTTTTCATCATCTGAACAGAGGCCCTGTGTGGGCTAATGGCAGCCCTGCTGAAAGACCCAAGAAAAATCTGTTCCAGTAAAAATTTCACAACAAATAATAAATAGTGGGTAAGTCATAGGCCAACGAGCTTAAGAGCTGGCCAAGGCCACAGTTCCCATACGAATTGCCAGGGCTTCTGGGGAAGAGTGCAAGCTGCTTGCCAGTCTTTCTCCCACTTATCTTTACCACTCTCCATCTCTGCCAGCTGGTTAAAGGCACAGTGTGTATGGTAGAGCACCAGTGCTGTACTGGCCTTCATCTTTGGGTAGCTACAGACTCAGGCCTCCAGGCTTAGTCTGACAAAAGAAGAGAAAGCAAGAAAGGTATGCACACATTTCACCCTATGAGTCTCTATTTCTACACACCCAAAGACGGTGGTTTTGTCATGAATTCAGAAATTCTCCCAAAGTTCTCATTGATGATTCATACAGGAACCTGAAAAACAAAAGAAAGACACAGATTCAGTTCCTCCAAATGAGCAGAGTTTAGAAATGCTATGTAAGCAGACATACATGAAAACAGCCTGTGATCTAGAAGCCTCTGACCTACACAGAGCAGAACACAGTCCCAGCCAAGCCTTAGCACCTACTGCAGAGCCCATAGCCTGGGGCCCTGGTAATAGACTGGGGCCCTGGCATAGACTCAGTAACACCTGCTCACCTGGCAGCATCCAGCTGGAGAATAGTTTTCTTAGTTCTACTCTTCTGAATTCTACCCCCTCATTAGATCCAGTACACAGAGCACAATGTGGCTTGTCTTACCCAGCACTCAGTCCTGACTCTTTACTGCATAAGAGAAAACAAGGAAAATGAAAACCATCTACCTACACCACCGTACTCTGCTACTATGGCCATCCCTTCTACCTCTAGCTGCCTGAGGCCTGCCTGCCTGAATACCCAGGCCCATTGATGGAACACTGATGGAGGCAGTCTCTCCCCTCCTTTCAGGGTGTCTACTCAAGAACCATGGCTGGACAGCTCCTGTATAAATCACTGCAGTGTGATACTGCAGATTTAAGCACATCAGTTACAAAGCACAAGGCTCTGTTGCACTCCCTTTTCTCCCTTTCAACTAACACTCCTCCTTGGCACTGCCACATGTTATTTGGTCAGAGTCTGCCCCCGAGTGCCCTCTCCCAAGATGATCCCAAACTACTCCCAGATACTCAAAGCTCCACAGACAAATTAGCATTCTGGGCCTGAAGAAGCCATGTGATTGTCCTCTGTGGCCAGCACTGAAAGTGAGAAGACTGATGGCCAGTGTCCCTGGCCTGGTGTACTGACAACATGTCTAGAGTCAAGGGAAGATTGACATTTTTAGATTTCAGATAGTAACATTAACAGAGAGGCAAGAGCCTCTTCAAAATATCTCTTTAACCAAATGTATCCAGCTCACATCAGCTGTCACTGAGAGTCACTACTAACTTAACATACACTCTGGCACTGGCTACCCACCACCTCTCATATGCTCAGCAGCCTCTGTAATAGCAGCAAAAACCTAGAAAAGACAGTATTTTCTCCCTTGCCCATGGGCTCAGGAATTTTATCTAGCCACTTGAGTATTTTAAGTCAACCTCCTGAAGAATCCCCTGTCAGGAAGTCTTTGGAATCATCCCTTTCTTTGGCTTAGGAGGTTTCTTCAGTTCCTAACACTGCGTGTGTTGGACACCTCTCCAGTGTCTGGGGAACATCTGCCTGCATCGCCCTGCCCAACCAAGAAGACTTTTTTCCAAGACTCACATTACCATCTACCTGATTACTCACCATGTTCCTGAGTTCAAAGCTCTTGCTGTCCCCTGAGAGGGCATCCACATGTATTCAGCCCACCTAGCGCAAACACCTCATGGGTACAGACTGAGCAGAGGGTGCAAGGATATCACATGGGAGCAGTGGGTACCTGCCCTGCCTTGTGAATACCAGAAGCTCAAGCTCTCTTAACTTCAAAGGTGAAAAAGGTGTCAACCCAGACCAGCTCTTTAGGAGTTCAGATAACTGGGACCCTCCTGTGGCTCACCTCACTGGTCTAGCACTACTGACTCAGAGTCCCCTGCCCCACTCCAGGCCCCCAGGGGAGATACAATGCCAGCTCAGGAGCTGGAGCTGAGACAGAGGGAAAGTGGTCCACGTTACCACCTCCATCTCAAAAAAGAATCACTGCCTGCTGAGTGGGAGGTAGAAGAGTTAGGTTATGCTCACAGCAATGCCACCCCCTTCTCTCTCACCTTCAACAGCTCAGACGCCAGGCAGGGCCTGCACAGGGCAGCCTGCCTCACAGATAACCCTGGCACAACTGCTCCAATGCCACAAAGACCACTGGGCCTACAACTAGTTCACTGTGTTACCTGAGCAAAGCATGAATACACTAGCCATCGAGTAAGGACAGTGAAAGGGACAAAGGCACAGGGTTTCAACAAGAGAAGGGCAGTGGCAAAAAGACTTGTGAGTCATGGGTCTGTATGTATGTGTAATTAGACAAGTGGCCTAGAGCATGTGACACCTCAGCTCTGACCATGAGCAGGAAGGACATATGGCCCTTCTGACCCTGCAACACCACATGCCAGCAACATGGAACAGGAAGACAGAAGAACAATGTCAGGATTATAAAGGAGGAGGAGTACTTGTGAGTGAATTGCTTTTAATTATCCACACAAGTCCACTCAGAACTGGCAACAGGAACACTTCTAAGCAAGTTATAAAAGCATCCTGCCACAGATTCATCCTTTAAAAGGACTACTAAAATTCCACAGAAAGGAACAAATCAGTTAATGCCCACTTATTGATACTGCTCAGATATCCTCCTAGACTCTCACAGCAAGGGCACTGGTAGCCCACATACACGTGTACTCAATATTGGCAAGTACTTGTATGCCATGGGATTACAGTCCATCAACTCACTAGTAAGCAACCATGATGCAACATAAACCTTAACATACTTCCATAACCTTGAATTACAAACACATTCTACCTTCAAGTTGATTATGAAAGTGTATACAACAGGCTTGGTATTTCAGTGCAACAGCGTGTGGGCAAATGTTAGTGTTTCCTAAGAAAACATGCCCAACTCAGCATATTCTATAGCAAGGGAAGCAATTAAAGTACAATAGGAACAACTTTATTCTGAACCTAACAGACCACCCAAAAAATACCTGCCCAACTAGAGAGAAAACTGAGCCCCACCAAGCATGGGAGTTTTCTCCTTAAAGAGAATTCTCTCCACAGGCAGACGGTTCAGTAGAGAGGACGGCTGATGGCAGAGATGTAGGAGCCATGGAGATGAACGCAATGCATCTGTGTTTAAACCTGTTCAGGTCCTTTGATGATGTGTGAGTAGAAGTTAAGGGCACTAACCAGAAGGGCTTCCCTTTCATCTTCAGAATGGGCTGCACCACTCAACATCTAAAATGTTATCCCCACAAACAAGATTCTAGCAAAAACATTCTGACATATGCTGAGACTGTTGCTCCATTCCATGAAAATAACATTCCTAGCTTGTAGTCCCGATACCCTTCGGTCAACAGTACATCTGGCAGAGACATTCTCACTCAGGTGTCTCCAAAATGCATCTGTTATTCTGTCATCTCTGTAGCAGGTTATCAGGCCATAGAAGTTCACAGAACTGAGTTGACTTTCTTCTTAAAGTATACAGTAGCAAAGTCTAACTGCATTAACCAACTTAGTAAATAGTCAACAGTTTAAAAGCAAAGCATTTCCTTCATAGCCTTCAAACTGACCCACATGTGTGGTCTTACTGGAGGTTAGATTTTCAGGGGAAGGAACTTTTATCCAGGATACTCTGTCCATTCCTCTACTTGAGCCGCAGATAGGCCCACTGGCTCCACCTGAGTATCATGTGAGTGTTTGTCCAGCATAAATGGCCCTCCAGATCCCAGCCGGGGGCTCCACTGTCCCTCGAGGTAGGTTGCTCTGTTTACTTTTCATCTCTAATTTTTAAGATTCCTTTATAATTGGTAAATAATCCTCTATTCCAATTCCATTAAAAATTCTTAACTTTAGTTGGGCGGAAGTGGCGTACACCTTTAATCTCAGCACATGGCAGGCAGACGCAGGCGGATCTCTGTGAAGTTCGAGGCTAGCCTGGTCTACAAAATGAGTTGCAGGATAGCCAGGGCTGTTACACAGAGAAACCCTGCATCTAAAAACAAACAAGCAAACAACAACAACAACAAAAGTCTTAACTTTGAGCCTTCTGGACCGACCTGCACATGGTTTCACCCTTTTAAACAAGATAAACACAGAACAGCACAGTAAAGCAGCAGCTGTGGTGATCTGACATAAAGCACAACAGTCCTAAATAAACATTCATTACGAAATCACAATTTTAAGAGATCTTCACTCAAATGAAGAGCTAGCCTATGTTCATGGATAGGAAGACTCAAAAGGGTCAAAACTGCAGTCTTTCCCACCTTTGTCAGCTTAGTTCAATCTAGAAAAAACCAGTGGATTATGTGAAACAGACAAAGTGACTAAATCTTATATGTAGAAACAAAGATAAACTAAATGTCAAAGAGATATCAGGTAGAGAATGACTATAATACAACTTAAATAGTTGTTATAAAACTAAAGTAAAACTGTGGTTCTGACAAAAGACCCCAGAGAAAGATCAACATGAATACAGGCAGCTGATTTTGACAAAAATGCAATGGCAGTCGTTTTAGCACAAAAATGTTAAAACAACTAGATGGCCACAAGCAAAAATTCAAATCTAGACATGTGATGGCTATTCTTGATTGTCAACTATATCTAGAATTAACTAAAACCCAAGTTAGTTAAATTTTTCTGTTCTTCCAATAAGAAACTAGGGTCAACTGGGGGTGGGGTGGGGCGGCTCAAAGTCAATTAAGAGAATAAAAAGATAAACTACCAACTAGATGAAAATATTTGTAAAACATATATAATAAGGGGGCATTACCCAAAATACACAAAGATCTCTTAAAACTCAACTTAAGAAAACAACCAACCTGATTAAAAAATAAGCTAAAGATCTTTTATCCCCTTCATTTTTAATCTTACGTGTATGAGTGTTTTAGCTGCATGTACATCTGTGTATAACATGCATGAAGTGCTCTTTAAATCCCAGTACTCAGAAGGCAGAGATGGGCACATCTCTGAATTCAAGGCTACCTTGGTCTACAGAGCAAGTTCCAGAAAAACCAGGAATACTGAGAAATCTTATCTCCAAACACTAAAAGAACAAACAAACAAACAAAAATACTTAATGTATAACAATAATCAAACAAAAAAAAATATCTCAGGAACAGAACATGCAGGATTTCTGGGATACTATTAAAATCTAAACCTGTAAAACATACATATAGAAGGAGAAGAGACCCAAGTCAAAGGCACAGAAAACATTTTCAACAAAATCATCAAAGAAAATTTACCAAATATAAGAAAAGAAATGCCTATTAAGGTACA